TGGGGGTGAGCAGGGAGGAGGGGCTGCAGGAGGTTGGCCAGCGGGCCCTGCCCCTATTGGGGTTGAGGGGCGATCAGGGGTGGGGCGGCTGGAGATTGGCCGGCCATCCCCACCCCCAGATCCGACGGGTTCGCTGGCCACAGTGGGCAGCGTAGAGACGGGTTGTTCTGGTCCTTACAGCGTTACAGTTGCTGGCTTTTTACACATATAGATTTTCATTGATTCCAGAGAGGAAGGGAGAGGGAGGGAGAGAGAGAAACATCCATGATGAGAGAGAATCGTGGATCGGCTGCCTCCTGCACGCCCCACACTGGGGATTGAACCCGAAACCCGGGCCTGTGTCCTGACCGGGAATGGAACCGGGACCTCCTGGTTCACAGGTGGATGCTCAACCACGGAGCCACGCCGGCCGGCCGGGCCTTTGCCCTGCTTTCTTCTCACTCTGGTCGGGTCCGGGGGTCATCCAGGCCCCCGGGGACCCCTCTCTGCACCCCCTTTCCACCCTCAGGTGGCTCCCTGCAGGGGGAGGCCGCTCCCTCCAGGGCCTTCGTGCTCACGCCCCGGGGAGCCAGGAGCCGCCTCGGGGCCCCGGAGGAGGGGACATTCCCGCCCACCTGCCGGGCACCTGTTCAGGCCGCTGGGTCCCCACCCCCAGCCTCCTGTCGCCTGTCACAGCCCCTCGCTGCCCGTGCAGGAGCCCTGGGAACGGGCGGGCCCCTCATCACGCCTGCGGGCCCGGGCACTGACCTAGAACGTTCCCCCTTCGTTGCCCGTGTGTGACTGGGTATCGGTCAGAGCTGCCTGCCCCTCCCGTGTCTGGGCTCCCACAGTCGTGCATGCGGGGTGCCTGGCGGGAGAGCCCGCACCCCACTCTCTCTCCCACGGCTGCTGGACGGAGGAAGGCCGGGAGGTGCCGGCTGTGGACAGCAGAGGGCAGTGCTGGCCCTGAGCCCGCAGCCCGGCCTTCCCACAGTCCCCGCTGACCTCCCCTGGCCTTAGGCAGCCTCCTTAGGGAAAGTGGGGGAAGAGCCCGACCAGCGGGGCTCAGGGGCTGAGCGTCGACCTATCAACCAGGAGGTCAGGGTTCGATTCCCGGTCAGGGCACAGGCCCGGGTTGCGGGCTCCATCCCCAGTGTGGGGCGTGCAGGAGGCAGCCGGTCCCTGAATCTC